TCTGGACCAGAGGGTCAGTGTCTGGACAACATCGTCATATCGGACATCCCTACTGTGGGTGTGTCGTCTCTGTCTGTGCTGCTGTGTTTGTTGTTTGTTGTTTGTTTGTTTGTTGTTTGTCTGTAGAAACGTAAACACCAACATTTACTGATGGAAATGTGGTCGACGTTAAAACAGAAGCAGAGATGAAACAGCTGAACTTCTGCTCATCCTTGTAAAGTATCGATAACATTGAAACTGTTATGACAAATATAAAACAGGTACGAACAGCAAATACTGCGATAACGACGAGGAACATGAGAGAAAAACGAGGGAAATTATTGTTTTTATAATAAATGTTTCAACAGGAAAAAGTAAAGGTGGACTTTGAAGTCTGGAGATCATTTGGTTAAAAACAAAAACAGTGTTCAGACGTCAGTGTTGAACTCAACTTCAGTGCAGAATTCTTTCAGAACCGACGGTGACGTTGAAGAACCGACTGTAGGTCCGAAAAAACAGGAGGGTTGGAAAAATCCGACATGTGAACGCAGCATTAATCTTCATCACGGCTGACTTTTTCTTCATCATCGTCTGTATTTCCATGGTGGTTGTTGTGTGGATTACCGTCATTACCCTCATCATCCTTCATTGACTTAATTGTCATAATTAATCATCGTCAGCTCGGCAGAAAACGGCCTGCGTTTAACTGTAACCACCCGTCCACGCACGAGAGTGGAGAACGTAAACACCATCCGACCGCCTGATCACGACCACCTGACCATCCGATCACCTGATCACATGACCATCTGATTACGACCACCTGACCATCGGATCACATGACCATCTGATCACATGACCATCTGATCACATGATCACCTGACCATCTGATCACATGACCATCTGACCATCTGATCACATGACCATCCGACCACCTGACCATCCGACCAGCTGACCATTCGACCACCTGATCACATGACCATCCGACATTTCAATCACACCACTTACAGACTGCACTGACAGATGAAAGGCCAAGTGTTCGGCTAAATTTATAATGTGCTACGTACAAGTTGCCAGGATCAGCCCCCCCCCCTCCCCACACCCCTCCTCACACTCCCC